TTTCGAGATACGACCAGCTCCGGCCCCAAAAAATTACCTCTACTTACGAACGCCCCTACTTACGAATTTTTCGAGATACGACCAGCTCCGGCCCCAAAAAATTACCTCTACTTACGAACGCCCCTACTTACGAATTTTTCGAGATACGACCAGCTCCGGCCCCAAAAATTTACCTTTACTTACGAACTCGCCTCGACTTACGAACCGGATCCGCGGCCATTTTCCGCCCATTCCACATGGTCCACGGCCATTTTCCTCCCATTCCACATGGTCCGCGGCCATTTTTCCGCCCGACATGTGGTCCGCGGCCATTTTTCCACCCCTGACGCGTGGTCCGCGGACGCCAGAATGGATTAATGGTAATTACATTGAACCTTATGGGAAAATTTACTTCGACTTGCGACCAACTCGACTTGCGATCAGAGTCACGGAACGGATTAAGTTCGTAAGTAGAGGTTTATGGGAAAATTTACTTCGACTTGCGACCAACTCGACTTGCGATCAGAGTCACGGAACGGATTAAGTTCGTAAGTAGAGGTACCACTGTACATCCTTAACATTAAAAGCAACATTAATATATTTGGAGTAATTCTCTGAATCAAAGAAACACCATAGTTCCAAAAATTATTTCTAAATTCAGTTTAATAATTTCCAAAAAGAGCCCTAATCCCAACATGGTCTCCTCTAAATGGCTAGTTCTGCCTTGAAGAGATTTCTCCAGCAGAGCAAAACATGGCCTCATCATACAGAACAAGAATATGTAAGTTGTCGTGGGGTGGGGGGGAGTACAAAAAGAATGTTAATACGAGTAAACAGTATAGAGTCTAAACCTAAATACTAATTGCCAGTAAGCAGTAAGAAAAATAGCCAAACCAGGTTTTTTGCAACACAGTTCTTCAGAACTTTTCCTCCCACACTCTAAAGCTTGCACTCTGTAAAGACTCAACACATGCTTGCTTTTTATAAATGAAGTTTTGCTAGCCTGAATACTTTTCAGTCCCAAACAGGTTTTCTGAACAAGAAAATATCGGTTTGAAGAGAAAAACTTTTCATACTCTGTTACAAAACAAGACCA